AGCAGTGATGGATTTAAATAGGCTGAATTATATTATTTAAAAAGTAGGGCGACTTTAACAGTTAGAGTAGAGGTAAGAAAGAAGGACATTAAGCTAAAATCATTTCTAAAGGCAGCAACAAACAGTTTTGTTCAATTAGCAAGCGTAATCCTCAATTCTAGTGAATATTAATAAAATAATATGTAAGTACTGATGCAGAACCCAATATCAATAATGAAATCTAAAACCCCGCATATACATCAGCAATCAGAAACTCAAAACTCTAAGCAAACCCTCATTACTTGACCCGCACTCAACAGGGGAGTGAAAACTAAGGTAATTGGGAAAGAAATAAAGAACTAAAATTAAAAGATACCACGAGACTTACCTCGATAAGTGATTCCAATTCCTAGCATAGTAAGTCGGTCGAAGACCCACTCACTCACTCTTGCAAGCTTGAAAGCTTAAAACAAGAATACTTGAATTTTATTAATAAGCTGAAAATTCTGAGTTGAATTATAACTATGAATTGAAGGTCTATTTATAATGTAGGTCATGCGAATAATAAAAAAATAATAATAATTTTCTAATTAATGGTAAAAATTACATAGGAAATTAAATCTAAACTAGAATGGAAAACTGAAAAATAATTTAAGAAAATTACAACTAAAATATGATATATATGATTTTCCTATAATTTTTTTTTTTAAAATAAGGAATATCTTAATCAATTGTGGCTAATTTAGGAGAAGAGATTCTGCCAATATATTTTTCTCTTTCTCAAGTATTTTCCTTTTCCATGAGATTTGACATTTAAGCAATTTTCCTCTTTCTCAAAAATAGCTTGCAATTTAAGAGCAATTTCTCCTCTTAGTTGATCTTTAATTGTGAAGATGTTCCACATGATTATGAAATAAAATCCCATGAGAATTTTTCTTTTTCATGTCTTAGAGAATTTACTCCTTTTCTTACTTTTTTTCCTTTTGCACTTGAAATAAATAGTATATACTATTATATCTTTGGGATAATGGTCTTGTTATCTTCTTTTCTTGGGCTTCTTTAATGGGTCCAAACCCATCTTTTTCATTGATTCACACTTGCATAAAAATTTAGAACGTTTGTTGTAATCTTTTAGCTCTCTCCCTTGTAATGGGTCCACTTGACATTGAGATATCTTTTCCACCAACTTGATCCATGTCAATGCTCACATCATCCCCTCCTTCAAAAAGATTCTTCCTCGAATCTGGACTTATATCAAAAAGAAAAAGGTCAGAAACATTAAAGGAAGTAGACACACCGTACTCACCTAGAAGATTAATTTTGTAGGCATTGTAATTTATATGCTCTAGAACTTGAAAAGGTCCATATCTTCGAGAGTCTACTTAGATTTTTGTTAATTAAAAAATCTTTTCTTTTGGATATGAACCCATATCCAATCACCAAGTTGGAACACCATTCGTTTCTTTCTTTTATTGGTGTGTCATGCATAAGATTTATTCTTCTTGTGGATATGATGTCTGGTCTTCTCATGTATGGTTTTAACAAGTTCTGTTCTTCACTGACCATTGATATCTTGAATTTCCTGTAAAGGTAAAGACACGAGGTCCAATGGAGGTAAAGGATTAAAATCATAAATAATCTCACAAGGTGAAAACCCCGTAGAGATATAAATGTTCCTATTATAGCTCTCAATAAGGATCCTAAAGTCTTATTAACGACCTCAATCTGACCATCATTTTAGGATAACATACAGTAGAGAATAACAACTTAGTTCCTAATCTACACCACAAAACTCTCTAAAAGTGATTAAGAAATTTTACATCTCTATCACTCACAAATATCTTAGGAATGTCATGAAGTTTCACAACATCCCTATAAAACAAGTTTGTGATATTTGTCGCATCATCAGTCTTATGGCATGCAATAAAGTATGTCATCTTACTAAATCTATCCACGATGACAAATATGTTATCACTACCTCTCCTGGTCCTAAGCAATCCTAATACAAAATCTATAGATATATATTTAAGGTGTTGTAGACACAAGTAAAGGTGTGTATAATCCATGAGGTATAACTCTACATTTGGCCTGCTTACATGCAATGCACCTACTACAAATGTGCTCAACATTTTTTCCCACGTTAGGCCAATAAAAATGCTCATTCAATATATTTAAAGTTTTAACTACCCTAAAGTGCTCATCAATCCCCACTATGAACCCTCAAGCACCAGTAATTCCCTAAAGTGAACAGTTAGGCAAACATAGCTTACTATCCCTAAAGAGAAAACCATCATGCTTATAAAATTTATGAAATGCAGATGCTCACATGCTGATAAATAATGAAAAATCAT